GCGGGGGAACCGGGGGGAACCGGGCCGCTGTGTGCGGGAGGTTCGGTTCTTACCTTCGAGGAAACAGCGCCGGTTGTGGGCCATGTTCAGTCCATGATCCGGATCGGTCGGTTCTGCTGCTCAGCGGTTCCGGTCCGTGCTGCTCACACGAAAGTTACCGCGAAAATACGCCTCGATGCCGGAAGTCTGGGCTCGCCTTCAAAATAAAAGTCGTGACGTCATTTTAACCCTTTAACATCCTCACTTTTATTATTATTAATATATTATTATTATTAGTGTTATTATTATTATTATTATTATTATTATTATTATTATATTATATTATTATTAGTATCATTATTATTATTACTATATATTATTAGTATCATTATTGTCATTACTAATTATTATATTTATTATTAATTATTATTATTAATTATTACATATATTATTAGTATTTTATTACTATAATTATTATTAGTATCAAATTATTGTCATTACTATTATTATTATTATTATTATTACTATATTATTATTATTATTATTATTATATTATTATTATACCATATTTAACAATGTGTGCTTAAAATATGAACAAAAACTAAATTTCTTTGTATTTTTATATTGAAATCGAATAATGTTGCCTTCCTGTACTAACTGATTTAAACCAATAATTTTGATATATGACATCACCTGTTAATCAATCTTTAACTTTTAACTGACTATACGTATACATATATGCATATATACATATATAACTTTATATATATACTCATATATATATATAACGTTACATATATACATGTATACATATATACTCATATATATGTAACGTTATATATGTATATGATCTGATCCAAAGTGAATGATATTGTGCTTCAGTGACGATGGCAAGAACAGCATTATCCTTTTTAAAGTGAATTAGTGATGAATCTCCCTCGTGCACAACTCATACATCAATAATAAGTTCACACATAATCCAAAAATAGAAATGCATAGTAAAAATAGCACATGGCAATCCCTCCACAACAATTAACACAAATTCAATCGATCCCTGTCTAACTGGAATTATTTTACTTTCTCCTGCAAAAAAAGCCTAAAAACATCAAACATGCGTCACAATTTCCTAGAATAAAAGAAATCAGATGTTTTAGGCAGCAACAATCTCTGAAAAAGCCCTAAAAAGCCTTGAAAGCTGATATTATCAATATTTTAGAGAGCACAAATCCTGTTTTCAGAGGAGCTCATGTGTTATTAAGAAAGTTCCTTTACTTTACACCCTGTTTCTAATGGAGAGAATATTTTATCTCTGACGTCCTCCAGCTGCTCTTCCAACAGACAAACACATCTAGAGTTTAAAAAGCACCAAGATCTAAACGTGGATGGTAAAAATGTGAAAATGTGAATGTGTGAAATATGACGCCACTGACAGGAGACCGGTGAAACGCAGCATTACCCGAATTAAAGGACAGATTTCTCTGGGTTTGAACTTTGTAGAAAATAAATGTACACAACTCACCTACTTATAGAACATAGGTCTATTGTTTATATCCATTTTAATGTGGAAATGTAAATTATAGCCTTTACACACACACACACTCACATGTTTAGCTGCACACAGAATCGTGTCTTCACCTCACACTATCACACAGGGAGGGAAGTTCTTCATGATGTGCAGCTGCACAGCAGAAAACAATAAAGCCTGCCAAAAATCGCTGCGGTGCAGTCCACGGAGACACGCGCACATAGACACACAAACAAATACACATGTACATACAATGAGAGGAGGAGGGAGAAGGGATACAAAGGCAGAAAAAAATCGAGTCGTGGATAACAGCTAAACCACACGCATCCCTTCACGATCTCGCTATTTAGTCTTGGAGATAATGAGATGTTATCTCAAATCTGAATCTGGATGGTACAGGTGATGTTAACTTCACCCAGAAAGAATGATGACATATTTACTGGGGCTGCAGAAGCACATGAACGTGGTGCTGGTTTTCTGTCAAAATGAGCTGATCTGACTGGGCAGCTCTACACGCTGAGATAAAAACCCTGAAGTTTACTGTCATCCCTCTTTTTCAGTGCCGCCCTCCACCACCCTTGGCTCTGCCTCTTTCTCTGTTTTCTGTCGTCTCTCATCTCTCCGTGAACCCCCCTCGCATCTTCTCCTCCCATGAAGTCTCCCCCCCAGTGTGCCCAGCCAAAAACACAAATAAATACTTTCTGCATTCTCTTCTCATCTCCATTTCTTCAAGTCCTCCCTCCCCCTCCCACCTGCTCAGGAGTGTTGGGGGGCTAAAAAAACTGAACGCACACAGCTCTGTGATTACACACACACACACACACACACACACACACACACACAAGCACACAGGTGGGATATGCCCCCAACCCACTCACATACAAAGTTCTTTTTTATCTCATAGAAACAAAGTCCTGTGCACACACAGACACACACACAGACAATACAGTAGTATTCACTGATAATGGTAAAAAAAAATAAAAAATCAAAGAAAAGACGTATTACTACCCTTAAGAAAAAAAAAAAACTCATCAAATTATACTCAGTCATTAAAGCTGGTTTATATACGTATGCATGCCACATGTACATAGCATAGTGTATCTAAATGTACATGAAGAATGTGTACTGTACCTGCACTTGGACTTTTGTCTCACACACAAACACATTTTAAAAAATCTCAAATGGCAAACTGTAACCTGAGGCAAAAATGGATAATTCCATTTCTCTCACTCTTTCTCTCCTCAGTGTGTGGGAGATGGACTGAGGTGTGTGTGTGTGTGTGTGTGTGTGCGTGTACCAATATTATTCAGCATTCAGAACCAATTTTAACATGACTGTAAAAGTGGTTCTGCCCTTTCACTGCATGGTTTTAGTGTTGATGTCACATTCCAAAGAATTCTATAATTCTATATATTATTTATTTCATCAAGTTTGACCATCACGGTAAAATGTTTAGTGCTCTGGCTGATGCTACAAGCCAGAAAAAAATCTATATTGAAGATTAACTCA